AATGCAATAATAGAGAATTACTCTCCTAAATTTCATGTCGCCGATCACGGTGAATTGCGACTAATGATGCCCATGAAACGTCCAGGGCTACCCATCCAGGACTCCAAAACCACCTTTCGGCTAGTTTCTCATCTTGGAGTGAAGATATGTATGCAATAATATGAAGCATTGAAGCCACATTGTCGTCAGCATTCAGATGCGTCACGGCTAATGCAAAGCCCAATCCTTCTTTGATCTCGACGTCTCATGCACTGGAATATCACCAGGCCGCATACTTTCGATACTCGAGGGCTATTCCTGGGACGTAATACTCACAGAGGGCAAAAAAAGGTCATTCATAGGGAATTGAACCAAAAGCATTGAGCGAAGGTTGAGGGCGGTCAAGGAAGAATGGATTCCACTGGCGCCTCCTTAACCACTTGACCACCTGCCTCTTTCGCTTGTGATAGCATGAGACAAGAGGACGATCAACTACCCTCCCATCTCCTTCCTGCTAGGTACCTGAGGCATATGAGGAAGGTAGCGAGAGGTGGTGGCTCATTGACCGTACCTGCTTCCCGTCGGTGACCGTACCTGCCTCGATTCATAACCCGCACCTCTAACAGGATCGTTCTTTCTTTATCTCCTATGACTTCCCTGGTGCCTGCCTTGCCTTGCCTTAAATCCAGATCGAGGTCGCTCTTTCGTCAACCAAGCCCAATCGATCCCCATGGTCGAGCGGTATAACGCCCTGGTCCGTTAGTAACGAACTTGGTATGAAATCTCGAGAAGTCGCAATAGATGGAGGATTTCGTAGGGGGTCCAGTTCAATTCACGAACTGGGCACCTGAGCTTTTGCTTTTCTGCTCCTTTTGACTTTCAGATATGTGCCATTCAAGGCATCCACCAAGATATGTGAAGTAGTTCGAGTGTATTTGCCCTCTGGTTCTCGCCCTGCTTCGGCCCATAAGGTACTCACACGCGAATATTTCAAAGTCGCTCCATCTGAGGAGATATCTTTGGTGTATGCTCACGAAAATTTGATGCACGTGACTCATTCACCCCTGTGAGATACCCATCAGTAAAGATGACCGCCAGAAGAGATGCTCCCACATTACCTCGTCGATGGATAATAGGTTCTTGGAGTCATGGATGTTTCTACACACCTCGTCTAGTCCCGAATGAACATTTCAAGCACAAAGAGTCGCCAACTTCATGTTCGGGCCCGTAGCCAAATCCTTCATCGACCCGGCTCCATTCGATGCGCATGCGGACGGACTTGGCGCCTCTGGTCTTTGTACTCACATCGTCACAGTAGCCTTCAGGTCGCGGGCTTCTCTGGCTTTGGCCGTCTTGGCGAGGATAGCCGTTACGATACATCCATGTTGAAATTCCAGGTCTAATCCTAGTCTTCCGAGCGACGACTGCATGTCACTGACAATTCTGGATACCATAGATGAAAGGCCATCAATGAGAAGCGTCACCTTCTGATTGCAGTCCCCCTCCCCCTTTTCTCGCCCAACCGCTCTTAGGTGACAGCTCTTTTCCCGTCGTTATGGAGACTCGAGCATACTTTTCCTGGGCTAAGAAATAATACATGGGCACAAGAGTTGGACGTGACGAAAAAGACATCGGCCATGGTTCTCTCTTCAACTTCGAGCTGCGTGGCCTTACTTTACTAGACTCGGCAATGATTCAACAGACGCTCTGGGATATGAGTGTATAAGAAAGTTTCTCCATGGGATAAGGGCATACTGCAAGGCACCTGCCGCTAGACCAGTCACCATCAGGTAACCACCGTAGACAAGTCGCGGGAGAAACGTAGAATGCCAAGTGTCGGAATCAACTCCCCGAGTCACATTCAGCATAAACATCTAATCTAAAGTTTACAGAAGCTAAAAATAATTAAATACTCAATACCAACTGACAAAAGAGTTCACCCCCCCGGTGCCGATTTGGGGGCTACATCTCTGGCGCTCATGCTGGGATTCGAACTCGGGTACTCGCTAAGCCTGTCGTCGAGTAGGCTGGTTGGCGTTAAAGTTGACCGTCGACCTTGAACCATTCCACCACCCACGCCACAGTTTGACCTGACCCCCGACCTAGAGGGCGCCTGCTGTGCTGGTGACGGAATTGGACTTGAAGGGGGGTATATACCCTTCCTGCTTGTGGCAATGGCCTAGTGCAGAGGGATGGGATGAATACGCGTAGCGGAGACGAGATCGTGATCCCTCAGGGTGCTGGTAGTGGTTGTTTTGGGTACCCGGCACGTCACCTGGGCAACCCCTTCTACCACGCTCCTTCCACCACAGTCATCAGACTTTTTCACTGGCATCGAATAGGTACGTAAGGCGAGAACATGGCATGGGGCTTCTTACCTATTATCTAATGTTGTCTCCGTACTATACTTTTCTCCATGGCCCACCAGCAAACGAGGTATCGCATCTCCTGGCATTTCGGACTAAAGCCTGACAGAGACTTCCATTGGTTAACGATGAGCGAGATCTTTTACTGTGAAATGCCATGATGTGTCCATGTACAAATCTTACGACCATCTCAGTCCTCTCTCAGTGGAGACTTTGCCCTAGCATCATCGCCTGTTACCCGTCCGCCGTTTGGACGCGCCCACCCGTTAACTGCCCTGCTCCCGATTTCTCAGCAGAGCACCTGCGGTTGATACTTGTAGCAGCACAGGGTCTTCAGGGATATTCTATCCGAGTCTCTTAAACTATAAACGTAGTCGAGTTGATCGCTGAAGTGAGATAACGGCTTGAGGCGGCGAGCCACTAGCAAGCCATTCGTGGCGAGACTGGTGCGATGTATCAAGAAGAACCAACTACTCCGACTCTTAACGCTGGCCTAGACGTTCTCGTGATCAAAGTATCCAAGTTGAGGAAGTTACTGAGAGCGACAAGTGTGAGTATGCTAGAGTGTCGTCTCCAACATTGAACGGCAATGCTGCACATGATATCCTTAGCTACCTTGGAAACAATTTAATCTCACAGCAGTCGTTTCCATCAAATAAAGTTACTTGTCCATTTCAGTCAAGTCGATACTATAACACCCAAGTCCAGAAGCCAGTGGTGTTTCCAACATTGAGGGAAGAAAGGCGCCCTGGTAACATATCCTCATTTCGCGTCGACATTAACCTTCGTCTGGTCGTTCAGTCACTCCTAAAAATAGCGACAAGTTCGTCGGAACTCAACTCCACTTCGGTCGGCGGCGGTCGGCTCCGACCTCCACCGCAAGGGACCTCCCGTCCCGACCCACCCTGCCAAAGCTGTTTGCAAATTTTTGCAACCCTCAACCCACACCACCTCGCGCTCGCGCGGCCAAGGACGCAGAAACCGTCGCCCGCTTGCAACAATAACTGGTCTGGTGGTGTAGTTGGTTATCACGTCAGTCTAACAGTATGAGAGCCTTGTGTCTCTCCGCTCTGCCACACTGAAGGTCTCCGGTTCAAGTCCGGGCTAGATCATGCCATGGGCGGTTGGTTTAGTGGTATAATGACCGCTTAGCATGCGGTAGGTCCTGGGTTCGATTCCCAGATCGTCCATCTTTTTGATCATCTCGACCTCGTAATGGTTTCTGTGGGCGTAGCATGTGGTTCTGAACGTCCGCAAGCCGGGAGGCGATGCCATCGCGCTCTCTGAATCCCGTATTGCCATGGTGAACAGGCACTCCGAAACTTTGACGGGAGTATGGATAGGACATATTCTGGCACCGGGTGCTCTGATGACCGTTCGTTGTCCTGATATCGAGGAATTTGTTCACATCGCATCCCGTCATAATCCCTAAACACACACCGTGGTGATCGACGACACCAAAGGTCTGAGCTTCTTCCGGCTACAAGTGAGACACGGTCTAGTGACGACGTCAAATGTCCCAAGCAATAGACTGGGCGTTCGCCGAATGACCGAACAACGTCAAATTGGACCGGTGGGCGAACGCCGAACACCTTTGGTCACTAAACTGGCAGATCTTCTCCCTGGTGATCGTAGGGTCGCGCCGACCGGTGACTAGTTACTCATCGTGCTGGATATGTCTCACAGGCTTTGCACTGGCCAGCCATGCCAGCGCCGCATACGACTGGGTCAACTGCCGGCATAGGACACAGCTGATCTCACAAATGCGCAATGTCATAACGGAGTATTTAGGAGCGAGCGCCATCGAACCAGACCCTCGGTGCGCTCAGCATGGCCACCTCGTGGCAGCGTCGCGCAAGGCGGAGTTTTCTCCGGAAACGTGTTAGAGGAGGCGTGCGCCCTCGTCAACCAGCAAGCCTCTTTGCGTATTCGAGGTGGGCTTGGCAGGGAGGCGAAAAGGAGGTCCAGCTGCCCAGCGAGATAACCCGAAAGCAGAAATATCGTCGACAGAGAGGCAGGCCGGGAGCGGAGCCATGCTGAAGTGCGCATGGGACAAAGAACATGGCAAAGTTCAACAGGCGATTTTAAATTGTAAGATTGGTTTTGCAGCTTCCCTTTCCGGCTAGCCGCCTTCGGTCTGGGGCTCTTCTTCAAATTCGAGAAGCTGGGCCATCCTTGGGGGCCGGGACCAGGGCAACACTGAGCATCCTTGGGTCTAAGCTCCTCGATGACCGGGCCAAGGGCGGCGCCGTGATGGGAGCATTGGAAGGATATAGGAGGAGTGCAGTGGGCCTGATCATACTCGGTGTGGTGAAGAAAGTGGCACGAGCCGATGAGCGACACTGAGTTTTCTCTAGTTTGAGGCTCTACCAGATGTCATGATACGATATCGTCTCCGTGCTGCTGCGTTGAGGGCCCAGCAGCAAAAACTATGTCAGGCTGTCGTGCCGCAAACACGGACTGTCCTGATCTGTCGTTGAATTTGGCGTCCACCGAGCAAGCTGTCAGAAGCAACGCCAAGCGCGGTCGGATCGACGTGTTTCCACAGCGGAGGGATCCTCTTTGAAGGTCCTGAGCGCAAGTGAAAGCCAGAGAGTCATGAACTCGGTAGGCAATAGGGGCGAAGCTCCATCACTCTACGGAGTAACAAGATGATCAGGAGTCAATCATCATGGTCCTCTCACCTCGGTTTCGTAGTACGAATTTGCAGAAACTGATTTTTGAGACGTCTATTTGCTGTTGAGCAAACGCCCAAGGGTCCGGATGTCCGTGCTTGTGTGCCGAGAACACGAGGCAAAGTGCGCACGAGGCTCCTTTCATCCCGGTCTCGACACGTTTTTGTGCTTTCAAGTCCGTCCCTTGGAGTTTGTGGCGTCTCATGCGTTGGTTGGCACTTGGTTGGCTGGTGCGCGTTCTAGGGATGTACTTGACTAATTGTGCCTCCATTGAATCCCCAAGGACGAGGTGGGAGCTCCATGGCTCTTTTGAACCGGGAAAGGCCGTGGGCTGTGACAGAAAAGGTGAAGCCGTCTTGCGTCGCGTCATAGAACATCCGGTAGAGCAAGCAGGTGCTTGATGCAATCGAGGTCCTCGATGTGACCTTATGCCGTGCCGCAGACGTACTTCGTACGATTACTTGGTTGCCAGTGTACACCGTAGTGCAGGCTTTTAGCAAAAGGGATTGGCAGTTGGTTGATTTCTCCGAACAGCTCGCTGCGGCCCGTGGCCCAATGCTAAAACGTTGCGAGGCACCACTAGAGCAAATGGCTGCCAACTGTCCACAACCACCATGCGAACGTCTGAAGTCTGCTCTTTGGCTCTCAACTTTCGAGTCTGTACAGTAGGGCGGCGCACTGCGGCATGCAGCTAAAGTCCGGGCCATTCCAGAAACGTGCACAGTCTCCCGTACCTTGCAGACTTCGGCTGCACTGCAACACAGACCGGCCATCCTCCCATCCCACAGAGCCCAGGTCCCTGGTAAGGATACTGTCAGTTTGAACCTTCCAGGCCCCCAGAGACAACAGAAGAAATTTTTTGAGATTTTTTCTTGGGAGAGACCCTCGAGGGTACTCCCTACCGGGCCGTTTGCTTTCCTGGTTGCCTGTCCGCAAGCCCGAGTGTCGATTGCGGTCAGCTGCAGGACCAAGTAGCCGAAGTGAGATGGACCTGGGACTTGCATGTATGCGCGGCGGCCGACGTTGCATCTGGGACTCGGGAGCAAACAACCTTCTCCTTTGCCAACCACCGTCCACGAACCAGAATGGCAGACATAGGTGGAGAAGGGGTAACGGCGAGCCGGCGACCAACTCTAGGCAGCCGACTTGGTTGAATTCTCTTCTCTCGACCTCGGTACGGAGTACGCTTATTTCGCAGGTTTCCTGCTGCTCGGCCCGGTGCGAAGACGCGTTGCGAATGATTGGCTGGGGACTTTACGGGACACAACCAGACTGGAGCTGACTGTGATCCGTACTGCATAGGCATTTAGCAGCCAGGGCATCACATTTTCGACCAACCGAAGCCGCGAAGCAGGCAAGGAGGCGAGTGTGAGCCGTAGTTGATGGACCGGAGAGCAGGATGTGGTTCCGAGATGCCGGCGACGCTCACACACGACGGTGGGCGCATGTAGGTAATGCATGGCCTAAGTACGTTTAGCAGGTGGGCTTTTACTGCTCTCCGCGCCGCGATGTGATTTTCTGCCACGCCTGGCCCCCAAACCCCCCATGTTGGTTTCCACGACTTTGCATTGTTACCAGCTTGCCATGGCAGCAATCGACTCGTTAAGGACCACTAGAAATCGACATTGGCCCAAGGGTCGGGCGAATCATGGTCGTAATGGAGCATGATGAGCACACAGCGAAGTCGAGGGGCATGCTGGGCTGCAGGCAGCGGCAAACTCGCTACAGCTGTGTAGAGCTAGGCGTTTTCTTGTGTGCTTGGGCACGTTTTCGCCTCGGCCTCTAGAGCCCCATGTTGGTCGGTTTTTTGCGTTCCACTGGTGACTAGGGAGCTTTCCGTAGCGCCCCCGGCTCTGAATATGGGACCTATGGAACGATCGTACCATGATTACAGCTCGACTGGAGTCTGTCCATACAAAGCATGGATGGGTTCAGAAAGAAGGAGAGAAAATCTCGACGAAGAGCACTGGTTGCCGGGCTCTATCGTAGCACGTCTATCGATCACACTGTATGGGTACAGCAGCCGTAATTGGGGCGTTGCAGCAAGTGCCATGGATCGTGGCCCTCTATTGGGGCGCTGCAGTGTTGATATGACTTGTCGCAGTCTCGCAGGTATGAGGCGTGGTTGAGCAACGAGGAGGGAGCATGATGATGCTGCAATAGCAAAAGTCAAGACATTGTCATGGCCCGCCGGGAGTGATTCCGGAGGGGGTCCCTTGCTTGACGAGGCGCATGCAGAAGAGATAAGGTCCCCTGGAGGCTGGCTGGAGAGTAAGCTTTGGGTACAGATGAGGAACTGAATCAGTTGGTGATTTGCAGAGGTGGGCCAGATCAGCAGTGAAGTCGCAGCGATAGTGGTGTTGGTCGTTGTTGGTGGCGTGGTGATTGAGGATGACGATGGACGGGTGGGTGATGGATGAATGGGTATCCGTTAGGTGATGATCTGGGGAAGATGACGGCACCAAAAAGACACTGTGAGTACCTCGGTCAATCGGTCTGTGCATTCATTGAGGTGAGGGAGGTGATGGAAGGTGCACTAGTGGTGGCTTCCCTCGGGCGTCGATGCCATGTTTCTGAATGTGGAAGCTAATGGCGCCTCAATATTCTGGAAGTGTTGCGGTAGAGATGAGTAGCGGAGATAACGACTTGTTTGACCATGAAAGGGGCCTTTGGTATGCACCTATCTTTGCGTCTGGAACTTACCAGCGAAATGGAAGAAAATACTCATCTGAATTGGAAGATGCGTTGGAAGGTGGACACTCAGTAAAGATAGGTACGTAGAGGCAAGTACTGAAGTACCCTGAACGTACTTCGTGGGACAAGTGTGGAACCGCAAGCCTTCCGCCTGTTGGCCAGACCGTCCGGTGTTCAATTGTCCAAAGTCCGCGTTGGTGGAGCCGAGGACCCACCCTGGCCGGGGCTGTCTAGCGGGCTGCAGACATTGGACGACACTGGCTCCATGCACTGAAAGCTTGAGGAGAATCGGAACCGACACACTGTGGCAGCTTCTCAGGTACAGTGATCAAGTGGAGACTCTCTCCATGTCCGAGCGGCTATAGCCTTGAGCCTCGTACCTCGAAATTTCGACATGGGCCCTCTGCGACTCGCGAGTCTCTAGTGTAGGCATATGCAGACGGCAGCATACTTCCATGACAACTCAACTCGAGATGTACATTTACCAAGATCTTTGTATGGAGTATTGATTGGTGGATATGCCTGGATGCAGACGCAAGACGTTAAAGTCCCTCATTGTATGTTGGTCCAGGATTCCCTGCAACGTCCCCGCCAGACTCTGGAGTCTTGTGGCTTCCTTCCCGTGCCGTCCCCAAGGTCGGGGACGAGTCTGACTTGTCTGAAGATCGGTTTGATGGCCTTGGGACCATTGTCTGTCCCTTGCGAGATGAGTCTGTAGTAGCCTACTAGGTGAGATCACGGGGTCCATTGAACTTGGGATGAAGAGAAAGAAATCAGGCATGGAAAAAGTACGGGATTTGACGCAAGTGAAAGGTTACTGGATGGGTAGGTACTTCCTCACGTCTCAATAAGGTAGGACCCGGGAACTTCTTCAAGTAAGGTATCTCGGCCGTCCTCATATCCCAAGGAAGGTGCTTCGAATGCTTCATGGAGCATCTCAGGAAGGTAGGTAGGAAGGTAGGAAGGTACGTTACGTGGTGTGGAAAGAACGGGAAGGATGGAGTCGGGTGCGAGGCAAGTCCCCGGTACGTACTGTGCTGCCTTCCTTCCTTCTCTCCTTCCCATCTCTCAGGTTGATTCAGTCTGAAATTACCAAGATTCATCCCAAGCCTTCGATTTCACTCCATCAGAAACTTTCTCCATCTTACGCTCCATTTGTTTCTTCTTGACGCGAGATATACCAAGCTGAGAGCGCACTGGCAAACAGTTCTTTTTCCCGTTGGAAAGAGACAAAAAACAAAGCAAAGAGACCGTAGACCAGGGAGGGCTATTCCCGGTCGTCAGAGCTGCAGACAGACCCCGACCTATCGACCCAAGAAGATCCATTCAGTTGCATTTGTATCCATCTGCAAGGTCGTAACTCGTACGCAGTAAGTCAAGGTGGCTCTTTTTCGATATTTTCTCTCGCTCGTCTTTTTGACTCTATTGCCGCGACGACCCCCAAGTCTGCCATCCCATCAACCGTCCTCATCTTGCCCCGTCCCCATCTTGCTCCTTGTCTTCCTCGGCTTGCCTTTATGCCATCCGATCCTCGTCCGTCATTCTGCTCCTCCTTCTGCCCCATCCTGTCCCAGCTTTGAGGTAAGGTAGGGTGAGGTATCCGCACGGCGCAAGGTACATTACTTGCCTGCTTAGTATCCGTACGGACACAGAGTGCGGAGTACCTGAGGTATTCTGTTTTGCTTCGCCGCAGCTTTCTCTATCCACGCCCACCTCACACACCCACGGCTGTCCCCACGTTCCTGGCCTCGCCTGGGCCGCGCATCGTCCCCCATCGACAATCCGCGTGCCACACAGAGCTTCCTTCATTCATCTTGTCCCTCTGCAGATACATCCGCCCACTTTGCTGGAGGAGCCTTTCCCTCTTGACTCGCACCTCTTCTTGTCCTCTGTACTCTTCCCTGGGCATTCTCTTCCTACCTCATTGTCAACACGATACACCCTGCGCGGAGCATCTGCAGCCTCTTCAGAGAGTTCCTTACACCAGAGACGTTGTCATCTAACTCCATCTAATACAGCAGCAGCATTGGCCTCACCCACCTGGCCCGTCTGTCGCATTGTCTCAACATCATACACGTACGCTAACACCTCACCCGATATAGACGGCGGTTAGCCTCCGAGAGGCTAAGCTTGATACCGCTCGCCTCTTACCCGAGCCCGATTGGCCATTGACGTTGTGCTGTTGGCCGCGCTGTCTCCAAGAGGTTGCTTTTTCTCTCACTCAGCTTCTGAAAGTTCCGTGGTGTCAAGCAACTCTGCCGCGCCTGCATCCCCTGCTAGATTGGCCGCATATTGATCTTCATTTCCACTACCGCAAACATTGGACGCCTCTGAGATCCCGCTTGGCCTAGCTCAGATCCGGTCGACGGACGGATATCATTTTCATCACCCTCGCTCCCGCTGCCAAATCTCTCTCCGCAAAGCCAACCCCACCGTCCGAGATCCAGCTTCACAGTCCCGGTGGACTTCGACATCCAACGCCAATATCGACCCCGTCTCGGCGTTCACTTTCAAGTCTCAATATACTACTACTGCTGCTGCACTCATCATTGTCGCGCCCCAACGGTCTGCGTGCTTCCTTCTCTACGCGCCACGGCAGCCAGCTACACCACCGAGACACAGGACGAGACCCTTTGCGACAGACCACCTGTTAGAAAACATCAATTGCTGCTTCATTGACCCACACCTCCTGAGAGAAGACTGAAAAGAGCACGTCAGAGGTGATCCAAGTATCCGTAAGTGTTGAGACCCTCCTTCCAGTCATTTCCCCTCCTCCCGCAAAGCCGCAATTCGCACCCAATGTCTATGCTCTGCGTTCCTGGCAAATGCCCCGGATCATTGCTTGCATAGCGCTGCGAGGGGGCACCAGGGGTGTGCCAGATGGCCGACAACAAGGTTGCGAGCCAGTGTGCCCCACGATGGTGAACTTCAAGAGTCCGAGGCAGATCCAGAATGTACGGATACAGGATTTCATGTACAAGACAGACACATGGAAAGTGTACAAAGAAAGGAAACGCGGCAGCAGCTTGCCTTATCTACTTTACGGACCGCATGTCGCCCTTTACTCATTAACACGCCTCTACTGCCAATGTCTGCATAACTATCCTCTTACCATGCCACCCCAATTAGCCCCAATTGTTTTTCTTCATGTGCCATTTTTCCGGCGGTTGCGTGTCTGTTCATTGTCTGTGTCCGGCGTGGGCGCAGTGGGAATGGCTCAAGGTGGCTCGACATTTTTCCAGCTAACCAGGCCAAAAGCAGTTCATCTAGCTCCAGCGGGTATCCCTGATCCAGATCGACGTCGGCCAGAACTCTAACACCAATAAGGGAATCGGTCCCTGAGCCCAGAGTAGCCCTCCCCCCGACAAGCACGACAAGACAAGCCCCCCCAGCACAAGAGAGGGCCTGGACATTTCGTGCGCAACCAGCTGCTCACGGCTCCAGAAGCAGACTGCTGATATTGTTCCCCGCAAGTCCAGAAAACCGCCCCCTATTAAACTTGCGTGGCAGACCCTCGACTTATCAACTTCTGGTCTCCCCTCCCTTCTGTCCCTGTTCCTACTGCTGTTCCCACTGCTGCTGTCGCCGCCGCTGCTGCAAATCGACGTCGTCCACCTCCGAATCTCTCTCTCGCCATCTCAGCATCGTTGGCCAAGCGAATAAGGACAACACGCCTGTCCACTCACCTGACGGATCCGGAAGCGAAGCACCCCCCGGCCACGGTGATCGTCGCAACAGGCCTGTGTCGCCACAGCACAGCTTGTAGCTGGCCAAAGTTCGAACCACCAGCTGGCCACTCGGAAGCTTCGCCTTGAACCGAGTTCAGTTCAATTCAGCACCGCCTGAACCCCCCCCCCCCCAAGCGAAACCCCACCAACCGCCATCTCACGAGCCCCTCGACCCAGCGGTCACCCATTCAGCCAAAATGGGCCTCTTTTCTCGCAAGGAAAAGGCTCCCAAAGCCTCGGGCAAGCCATCGATCAACACGTCAAACGTGAGCATCGCCTCTGGTGCTTCCAGCATCAAATCACCACCGCCACGCAGCACTACAATGAACAGGTCTTCCGGAACGAGCACGACGCCCGGCACGCCTTTGACGCCTTTCTCGCCTACCTCGATACCCAAGGTCGACATGCCGCGTCCTCCTGACCCGCAGCTTGACCCGGCAGGATACCTCAGGAGCTTGGGGGCGGTTAGAGAACGAAGCAAGATTGTCACGGACAAGGCGATCCGCAACGAATTGAAGCACTTTGACGTGGACATGCGCAAGTTCCCAGACGTTGTGACGTTCGTCTCTCAGATCATCAAGGTACGAGTCAGCCGTGGGGCGCTTGCAGGTGTTTGCGTGCCCTGGCACCGCCCACCAACACGCTATTTGGGTCAGCGAATAGCAGTATACTGACCTTGCAAACCCCTGTAGAGAGACTACGACGCCCCGTACAATTCGATTCCTAGCCACGGAAGACACCAGCACTTCTGTGTCGGCGGTCGTGACCGCATTGCACAGCTTCTTTCCACATTCCCCGAAGATGTCGACAACAGCGAAAAGTGTCGGCGCATGATCGACCTCTTCCTCGTGAGTGTGCTTCTCGACGCTGGCGCAGGCACAAAGTGGAGTTACAAGAGCACCGAAAACGGACGCATATACCGCCGGTCAGAAGGCATCGCCGTAGCCAGCTTGGAGATGTTCAAGAGTGTAAGTCTATTTCACGATTCTGGTGGACTCGTGCGTTCACTGACAGTCGTCAAGGGTCTTTTCTCCAGCGACAGCAGAAACAAGTTCCAGGTTGACAAGGAGGGACTGCGCAACCTGACAGTAGAGAGGGTATCTGCAGGCTTGCAGTCGAAACCGGGCAACGAAATGGCAGGCATTGAAGGCAGGACACAATTGCTCCAACGGCTAGCAAATGCCCTGACCGAGAAGCGGGAATACTTTGGCGACAGCGGACGGCCAGGTCACATGGTTGGTAAGTTGACAACTCTCCGAGTCCGGTGGAAATGAAGTGCCAGGACTGAACTGACCCGCCTCAGACTATCTCCTATCGCATCCCTCGACTCAAGCTTCTTCGATGCCCATTGTGATTCTCCCTACATTGTGGAATCTCCTGATGAACGGCCTCATGCCCATCTGGCCAGCTTCCCGCACCTCGATTAATGGCGTATCTCTCGGCGATGCCTGGCCTTGCCAATCAATGCCGCAACCACCGCAGAGTCCGACGACTTCACAATTCTCACCATTCCCGCCGTCTGCCCAGAACTCGACCGCGGCATGGGAGTCTATTCTGCCGTTCCACAAGCTTACACAGTGGCTCTGCTACAGTCTGATGCAGCCTATGCAGTCACTACTTCGCATCCATTTTGCTGGCGTTGAACTCCTCACCGGCCTGCCTGAGTACCGCAACGGCGGTTTGTTCATCGACTTGGGAGTTCTTACGCTAAAGGCAGGCGATTCCGAGAGAGGCCTCGAGCACTACGACGAGTACTGCAGAAGGACAAACGTCAAGCCAGTTGAAGTTGCACCAATGTTTGAGCCTAGCGACGACGTGATAGTCGAGTGGCGTGGTGTCACGGTCGGCTTCCTGGATAGGCTTTGCGCAGAAGTCAACAAGCACATGAAGAACGACCTGAAGGGCAATCAGTTGACTCTCGCGCAAATACTCGAAGCCGGAAGCTGGAAGGTAAGCTCGCCCGAACTGTTAGATTTTCGAAGGTGTCGCTAATACAATCTTCCAGGGAGGTCGTGAGATGGCAGAGTTTAGCAGACCCAACACGAAAGAACCGCCAATTTTGATCGATAGCGATGGTACTGTTTTCTAGACTGTTGTTCATGTTTGAGATGGAAGCATTGGACCGAGACATTATACCTTTTCTGCCATTGATTAGACGACAGCGCCGATATGCATTGGATGATGGGCGCTGAGGTTCGCCTTGCATGCCCACAGTGGAAGAATGGCGCATTGTATGATGGGGATCGGATGGCGGCTTATGCGCCTTAATGAACATGACTTGGCTGGACGCCAGCGAGGAAGATTAATGCAATGCGAAGACCTCGGCGTAAAGCCTTGCTCGCCATTCAACCGCTCATATGGATAAATTGCCTGCCGAGTGTGGAATGCTTGGTGAGAGAACTGTTCCTTTTCACCATCCCATGCTCAGACTTCCATTCGCGGTCCGGTTCTCGGCCCCGCGTCGGAGCCCCACAGGCGAACCCACACACTTTAGCTGCCTATTCTGCTCACGGGCCCGGCGCTGTGCCATTGTATCAACGTTTATCTATCAGTCATAACCGTCAGTTTTCACCGAAGTTTGACTGTCCAACTGCGCAAGGCACGGGGAGTTGACACGTGGGCATAGGAAAACTCTCTTCCAAGAGCGCCAAGGTAACTTATCATCCATGCCCTTGAAAGACCATCATTGACCCCGCGCAGGATCAAATTTGCATCTACGCCCGCCAGCACCGGGAATCTGCCCACCTGCATCTCCGTCGCCGAGCAGAAGGCATGGCAATCTTTCCGCAGTTCGGGCCGGATCCCGAGACTTCACTGCTTCAGCAATGCCAGTTCATCATCCACCGCATCACGGTTCTACTTGATGAGCTTGAGCAGCTCAAGGCCGCCATCGAGAGGCGGCCAGCTTCGGGGCATAAGCCTGTGGCGTGGAACCAGGCTGTTCCGGGGCTTGGGTTCTTTGAACGGCTTATCGTTTCTGAGAAGAAGCATCTTGAGAAGATGGTGGCGGCGTATGATGATGATGGTGGCGAGGAGGAAGGAGTTGATACCGAGGCGCTGGATAGTCGGATCCGGCTGAGGCTCGATGCGTCGAATTACAAGTTTTATGAGACGGTGTGGGAGGTTACGAAGAGGTGTTGCGAGCTTACGGGGATGAGGAGGGACTTGAGCTACAAGACTGTTGGCGGGAAAAGCGTGAGCGCCGTGATTGATTTAGTCGTGAATGGCGGCGCGGACTGGGTCAAAGTCGTGACGACGACGGAGCGGAGGCTGTTTTACGAGATGGCGGACGCCGGATGGGATTGGGAGGAGGATTTCGAGGACGAGGGCGCGGACGAGGCCATGTTGGAGATTTTGAGGGACGAGACGGAGGATAGTATCGAGGTCGCCAAGGTCGCGAGGCACATGGTTGCCGCGGCAAGGACGTCGTATCAGGATTATCGAAGGCCGAGGGTAAGGATACTCATGTCGAGAGTATCTGAGGGGGAGAATGACGCCGTGGATCATTTGTTGAGGTTGGTGCGGAAGATGGGCGGCGGGGACGTGGATCTTGTGGTTGAGACTGCGAATGGTCCTGGGATCTTGACGGAGGCGACACCGCCGTTGGAGGAGGCGATTGCGAATCTTGTGGAGGCGGATTATTACAAGGATTTCACTACGACGGTGAATGTGGATTGTTCGGTGTTTATGGCGTTGGCGTCGGATTTCAGTCACATGGCTATTGGACCGGACTCGGAGCTGTTGAGATCGAAGCAGCACCGGATCGACGCGACGGATGAGGTTGAGAATGGGCCGCGGTTGGTGAATACGTTGTATCCTGCTATCACCGGCCGGACGCTGGTGTGTACGAGGGAGGCGGCGGATACGTTTCTCAAGATTGTGGGGGATATTGGGACTGAGGAGGAGAAGGCGAGGACGAGGATATTGTTTGAGAAGGGCGAGGTTGCCGAGGCAGAGGAGACAGATCGAGATCGCGCGCGGCGAGTGAGGTTGCTCCAGGAACTCTCTGTCTACCCTGTCCCCGAGGACCTACGCCTCCCCGTGCAGATCGTTGACTCTGTCTCATGGGATGATGCGCAGCGAATGGTAGCAGAGGGTCAACTCCCCGCCGTCGCGCTGGCCGTCGGGGAAAAGGGGTCCGGGCTGAACGCCATGAACGTTTCGTCGTTCTTGTACGGGTGGAAGGCGAAGCTGACGACGGTGACGTCGAACTGGGAGGCGGCCAAGAGGCTGAGGACCGTGATTGAGACGAACCGGGTGACGGGGACGGAGGTCGGGCCGCACATTTGGCGGATACCGTTTTCGAGAAAGTTGCTTGCGAAGCCCAAGGTGACGCCGCCTGGTGGTGGCGAGAAGAAGGATGGGGAGGGGTGGAGGTTGAAGACGAGGCAGGAGAGGAAGGTTGAGAAGGAGGCGAGTTTGCAGAGTTGGATCTCGAGTGACGGGACGGAGACGGTTGCGAAGATGACGATAGACGATGGCAAATGAGGTTCAATATTCTGTGGAGTTATTCATCCAGCACAACCGCCCTCGATATCAATACCAACGTCAACGTTATTATCGTTCAATCTACGGGCCCCAAAACGACGCCGCAATCGGGATACTTGATCCTCACCTCCGTCGTAAATACCTCTCCCACGTCAACCTCACCAAACCTCGTCAACAGCACCTCCTCGCAGTGCCTAGTATGATGATAACTCCAAATATAACTATCAACCCTCTCCAGCCCGCCGCCTCCTCCCTCCCCACCGCGACTCTGCATCAGCGCGCGGTGCATCCGCCTCCACATGGCCGTACAATGCCGAAGATGGTATCCCAAGCTCACATATACGCCGCTATACTCCCCCGTCATAATCTGCTCCCTCGTCAACGACGGCGCCGTACGGTTCGCGTCCGTAAACCAGGCGAGTTGTCCCGCTTCCACGAGCTCCGCTTCAAAGGTTTCGGCGAGGGCGGCGTCGTGGCATTGCGGCGGGAGCCAGTTGAAGGATATGAGGTCGAATTCGCAGCCTGCGGCGCGGGCTTGGGCTGGTGTTGAGCCGCAGGGGGCGGTTTGGAGGTAGGTTACTGGGCGGGAGGAGGGGTCGCTTGGGGAAGCGAGGGTGTTGTCGTTTCTGTGGGAGGTGTCGAGGGTGCGGAGGCGGGTTGTGAGGATGGATGTTACCAGGGCTGAGAGGGCGGCGCTTAGGAGGAGGGTTGTGGTGAGGAGGAGTGCGAGGCGGGTGTAGGTTGTTGTGATGCTTCGTTGGTTTGGCTGAGGTTGGTGATGTTTTGGGTATGAGGGTTTGGTGTCGTGGGAGGAGAGGAGGGACTGCGACGCTTCCTCGGAGTGGTTGGATGTTGCTTCGAGGGGCAGATTCGCATCATCGTCGTCTTCTTCGGCGCTTCGAGCTTTCTCCCAGGCAGATTGCCGTGGTGTTGATGCGCTCCGATGCTCCATCGAGTTACCTCCACCAGAGTCTGAGATCCGTCCCTGTCGTTACAGCAGTCCGGAAAATTGACAGCAGCGACCTCAAAGGGTGGCGGGGGTCAGCATTCAAGTAACATTCGCGACATCTTGAACAAAGGATTCCTCGTGCATGGTAGCGGCGAATTGTTTGGTTGGTGGTGCTGATGACCTTCCTTTCTTGGTGTATCCTGACTGCAAACCGAATCCTCCAACACCTGCTCGCTGATTGCGTCAGCCGATGGATACGAGATGATTCTCGAGTTTCGATCGTTGGTCTCTCAAGTATTTAAACCTTCTCCAGTTGAATTTCATTTTCCTTACCACAGCTGGTGTATCGTATTCTGTGGCGGTGAGGCTGGCGCCCAATAACAATGAACAACCAAGCTCGCTTGCATAATGTACTTACCCCGGTTTGCCCCTGTTGCGGCTGAACGAATAATTTGGCACGGGATTGGGGAAGATGCGGACAGCTTTGATTCTGCTGCTTGGCTGGACCCTCACAGCCTGATTTGTGTCTATGACCGGTTTCTACTTTCATCTCCTCGTCACTTCTGCCTTCTGGGTCTGCTGCCCTCATAATTCACCACAGACCTAGGAAATACAACCAAGTCTCAACCGTACTGCGTATAGACCCTTGGCGACAGACGGAGTCTTAATCGATCGTTCACGATGAATGGCAAGCGCCCAGCGCCCGATGACGCTCAATATGGCTCTTCTGGCGCACTTAAATGGCAACGAACTCTCCTTGACAACTGGGATGGCGAGAGACGACGTCCCACCGATGGCATACCGCAAGAGTATCACCGCTACGCAATCGCCTGGATCTGCGCGTTGCCCATAGAGCTAGTAGCTGCGGAAGCCATGCTAGACGAAAAGCACGACGTCCTCCCTTCTTACGCTCCTTGTGGTAACGCCTACACGGTCGACACTAATATCTACACTTTGGGAAGCATATGGGGCCATAACGTTGTCATCGCATGCTTGCCGGCGTATCAATATGGTACAAATAATGCGGCGAATGTGACGACTCACCTTGTCCGTACTTTTCCCTCAATCCAATTAGCACTTATGGTAGGCATCGGAGGTGGTGTGCCTAGCAGTGCTAGAGATATTCGGTTGGGAGACGTTGTTGTTGGTGTTAGAACAATGCAATATGATCTTGGGAAGATCGTTGCAGCTGCTGAAATTCAACGCACTGCAATTGCCAGGACTCTTCACCAATCCTTCGGAAAAGCCATCACAGTCTTGCGTGCTAGACATGAACGAGAACCCAGTCAAGTATATTCGATCCTCACGGAAAAGTTTGCAAACCTTCCGCACTACGGTCGTCCAACGGTGCCTGATCACCTTTTCCTTTCAACGTACGACCATCCGGAGTCAACAACTACGTGTGACGACTGCGACCCAACGAAACGTATGCCTCGACGCGCGCGGTTGAAAGACAACCCTGTCATTCATTATGGAGCGATAGCATCTGGCAATCAAGTTATGAAGAATGCCGTCGAAAGAGACCTTGCTGCTCGTACTCTGGATATAATTTGTTTCGAAATGGAGGCAGCTGGAATCATAGACATTGTTCCCTGCCTACCAATACGCGGAATCTGCGACTATGCAGATTCTCACAAAAATAAGGCCTGGCAGAGGCACGCCGCAGCTATAGCGGCAGCCTACGCCAGAGAATTGCTTTCTGTACTTCCCTCAGCTGAATCCGGTACACAATCTATCTCGTGCCTGGGCCCTTGTATGTATACAAGATATGTTATTTGACATTTACATCGCATTGCTGACCGCTATTTACAGCACAAATACAGCTTAATCTATACCAAAGACAGGATCAGCTGGTGGAAGCTCTGAAGTTTGATCAGATGGACTCCCGTCAATCAACTGTGAAGAAGGCACATATCAAGACATGCACATGGCTTATCAGACATCTAGACTACCAAAGATGGCTTAAAAGAGAGGAATTCGGGCAACATCACGGGTTACTATGGATTCGTGGTAAGCCAGGCGCTGGAAAGTCGACAATCATGAAATTCGCCTTGTCCGAAATGCAGAAAGACCCTGATTGGTCCCCACTCGCGGTTTCGTTCTTCTTCAATGCCAGAGGCGAATATTTGGAAAGATCAAATGAAGGGATGTACCGTTCTTTGCTATTTCAGCTGTTTCAGGGGTACCCTCAGCTTCGACGTGTACTTGGCGACTTGCGCTCAACTCAGCAGAAGGATGAGAGATGTCCCAGCTTGGACACTCTCAAGGATCTGTTCTCTAGGGCCGTCCTTGCGCTTGGCCAGCGTCGACTAACTTGCTTTGTCGATGCTCTGGACGAATGCGACGAGCAACAAATGATGGACATGGTCCGAGATTTTGAGGACTTGGCAGAAGAGGCGTCAACGAAAGGTATTGCCTTTCGGATTTGTTTGTCGAGTCGACATTATCCATATATCGTCATCAAAAAGGGACTGGCATTGATACTCGAAAATCAGTCGGGCCACACACAAGATATGAAAAGATACATTCAAAGTCGTCTCCGATTTGATGATCCCACCCTCGCCGAAGATCTGCAAGCCGAACTTCTCGAAAAGGCTGCCGGAGTGTTTCTCTGGCTCGTCTTAGTTGTTGATATCCTCAATACCGAGTACTCCCAGGGCGGACTGGCCTTGAAGAAAAGGCTCATCGAGATCCCGAACGACCTGGGCACCTTGTTCAGGGATATTCTCACGCGTGATCGTAAGAACATGGAACACCTGTGCTTGTGCATCATCTGGATTCTCTGCGCCAAGCGGCCGTTACGACCCAGCGAGTTCTGTCATGCACTCTGGTCTGGTCTATCTCAAAACGGCCTTGTTGATCCGAATCTACCAGTGGTCACCGAACACAGCGCTAGGAGATGTGTCATCGGTTTCTCCAAGGGACTGGCAGATGTCACCGAATCTATGCAGCCAACGGTCCAGTTCATACACGAGTCTGTCAGAGACTATCTTCTAAAAGGCGGGGTACTTCCTGAACTCTGGCCTGACTTAGGCTTTGATTGGGAGCTCCTAAGCCATGAGAAATTGAAACTCTGCTGCAGCGCGTATATAAATCACTACTTAGCGTCCGGACATGTTTTCAAAAAATGCGATACGACACAGTTTCCATTCATGGAATATGCAAGCCAGCAGGTTCTCCTCCATGCCGATGCTGCAGCCGCTGGCATTTCCCAACACCAGTTTCTGTCTAAATTCCCCCTCAAAGAATGGATTTCGATCTTCAATTGCTATGAGAAGGTTGAGATCCGTCACTATACGTATCAAGCCAGCTTATATTACATATGCTCAGTAATGGACTGCTCGACGCTCATTCCCATGATACAAGGCGGAGGTTGGCAATGCCGTTCTGCGGACCGGTACAACTATCCGCTGTTTGCTGCCTTGGCTCACGGGAATAGCAAATCGGTCGCCGCCCTCTTCGGAATGACCTCAATCATCTACGAAGGAATGGACATCATGGAAGGCTTGCCACCCAGGGGAGACTTTTTTGGCTTCGAACTAAGAACACCACTATCTTGGGCTGCACAAGGCGGTCGGCTCGGGATGGTCACGCTTCTTCTCCGAGCTAAGAATCATGTGAATGAGCCTGACCAGGAAGGGTTCACCCCACTGCATCGGGCTGCAGGGCATGGCCATAAACCTGTTGCAAAGCTTCTCGTAGACAACGGGGCGGATGTCGACGCCGTGGACAAATATATGCGTACACCTCTGTTTCTTGCTGTTATGCAAGGCCGGGAAGCGACAGTGAAGACTCTAATTGAGCACACCGCGGACACCAACGCCAGGAGCGACAAACACTTCTCTACACCGTTGTACGAAGCTTCAAGGGCAGGCTACAAGATTGACCCACCGGAAGCAATTGTCAAAGTTATAATCGAAAACGGAGCAGAAGTCAACTCCAAGCACGGAAATTGTGACACAGCACTACACGTGGCTTCTAGTGTAGGCGATAAGAGGATCACCAAAAGTCTTGTCGAGAACGTCGCAGATGTCAACGCTATTAATGAAGT